ACTAACAATCCAACTTCAAGAAAATAATTTGATAGAATACGCAAACAAATTTTCTTAACAAGCACAGCAGGATGTAAATTGATAAACCTAAAATGTAAGGAGAAAATGGAATCAAAGAAAACAGAGCCCCTGCTTTGTAAGGAAATTTACAATAACTAATTCAATACTTTCGTGGTCCGCTTGACCAATTAATACATGACAATTAATTAAGGTTTTTAGTCGAGATGAAAAAAAGTTAACGAAAGTTAATTGAAAAATGGCAAAAGGACGGAAAACTTATACGGTGGGATTAAGATGGGGGTTGATGTCCGAGTGGATCGAGGTCACGAAAGCTCAGGTGGTAGAGCAGCGGCGTATCTAGCCGAAGGTCGTGGGTTCGAATCCCTCTCGTGCCATTAACTTTTTTTCATCTCAACTAAAAACCTTAATTAATTGTCATGTATTAATTGGTCAAGCGGACCACGAAAGTAGTGAATTAATTATTTAAAAATGAAGTACACTTCACTAAAGCTCTCCATCGCCATTTCAATTGTCGTCGATAATCCAAACCGATTACACGACATCTGAAAAATGGCAAAAGGAGGGAAAACTCATAAAGTGGGGTTAAGATGGGGGGTTGATGTCCGGGTGGATCTAGGTCACGAAAGCTCAAGTGGTAGAGCTGCGGCATACCTAGCCGAAGGTCGTGGGTTCGAATCCCTCTCGTGCCATTAACTTTTTTTCATTTCAACTAAAAACCTTAATTAATTGTCATTTAAAATAACACTCGATAAAAGACCGCAAAGCATAAATTACATAATTACATAAAAGTCAGAGTCATATATATATATATATATATATATATATAAAATATTTATACAGACGGTAAATAAATAATAAGAGTGGACTGAAAGTTGAATAAATATTATTATCTTTTTAATGACAAAATAATCACGAAAGCTGGCAAAAATTCAATTAGAACCAACAGATAACATACGAACATGCTTAAACTACCCTCACCGGCCAGCGAATAGTTACTCTAGAGTACAAGACTGATAGACTAAAGACAGTGCCACTACCCAAGGGGAGTTACAAATATGAACTAAATACAATACACACAAACAATAAAATAATAAAGGGACGATAGTAAAAAACCACATTAACTAGGCGATATTCACATAAATAGAAAAAGGAACGTACAAACTACATTTAACAATTTAGGCACACAACTCCACTGAAGAAAAATAGACAATGGGAAAATTCCAGAGAGAAAACAGAGACGAGATAATGCACAACCTGCTTAAATTGTGTCTGGTGCTTTTTTTCTCTTTTTTTACGAGAGTTCGCAACAGTAGAGGTTATATCGACCCTCGGGGTGCCGGTGTTTTTGAAAAAAAAAGCCCGTTTGTAAGTATGTCGGGACCTTTACCTTACAGTAATGAATTCACCTCATTCAAATAAAACTATCCACCTTCGAAAATTTAGTACATTTTCTTAAATTAAAAACAAAATGCAAAATATTTGTAAAGTTAAATAATATTATTACCAATAAAATGCAAGTTAAATTCACTTTTAAAGATTTCTCCTTAAACTGCAACGCAGTCGACCAATCGGACAATTCCAGTTTGACATTTGCCAAAGGTAATGAACTGCTATCATCACTGAGGGTCATTCTTCATTCTCCGTCTCTGTACTATGACGATTTAACATGCTCTAGAACTACTGGCATGGATAGATGGAAGTGACCTGACAGTCCGTTTAAGAACCTGGTGCAACTGGTTTTCCTATGCATCGAATAATATAATTCAATATAAATATAATGCAAATAGATATTCGGAACAAAAAATACATCGGAGAAAAAATAAAATCCAGATCAAATAATTATCATTTAGAAACAAGGACAATCAATCACAAAACACCTCACCTCTCAAAGAACTACGAGTTCCAAATATATTGGACGTACTTGGAAAAATAGAAATGTACAAAACACAACACATTCAAACTAAAGGTAAAAAAGAAATACATATTAATAACGTAACATTAACAATTTAAAAAAAAAAAACCTGAAATTAGCCTGTCAAAACCACCTATAGCTGACGCTGTAACGCTGACATACTCCTTCCGCTTTTTAGGAACTTACAAAAATACTCTAGTAAACGGAAATCACACAGACTGAAGATGCCGAAAAGCCAAAACTCGCCAGGCAAATCAAAATAACAAATATATGCGGAACAAAATGAAAAAGAAAGACAATATTATACGTTCATCACCCTCGGATCCAACGAAAAAAATTAATAAGACTACTTACGATTACTTTAATCCATTTTTATTTTTGTACTTGTATTATGTATTAAATTCTATGTTTTCTAGGTGCGTAATAAAACTATTGTATCGTAATAATACTACTTACATAAGTGGATGTTGTATGGATCAATTTTCTTTCAGAAATTAATAAGGAATGATGGTAAAAATAGTAACTATCGTAATTGTAGCACAAGCCCCTAATAAATCACAAGAGGTTCCAGTCTATTTATATATGAACATAAATTCCTTCTCTTTTATTTACAAATAACAACTCAACAATATACAAAACAACAGGGAAAGTTTAACAGATAGCTACATCTTATTTCAAAGTTATATCATTCCGGGTTAATTTCACGGTCTTGATAATTAATTTCCTCACTTCACCTTCTGCGCCTTCGTTTCACTGAGATAAATTAAAAGTTAGCCGACGCTCCCGGGTAATGAAACTGTCGCTTCCGACGGCCTCCATAAGTTGTAACTCATTTAGAAAAGCAGCGCGCCAAAACATTAATTCTATATCTGCGTTGATTTACCAGGTAACCTTTGTAATTCAATTACGAGGGAGAATGTTCTCTATTACATTTTGAATAATATAGGACTAATTGGTCAGTTCAAGAGTAAAAACACTGTTACCATAGCAAGTCTCGACTTGATGACGCTGGGTAAACTTTTGAATAATGCTGTAGAGGGTTTGCAAACACGTACCAAGTAAAAATGAGAATAAGAAGAATCTTTCAAGAATAATACGCAACAATCAGCGTTATTGACGTTTGTCTGGGATATCGTAAGAACTTTAATATTCGTAGTAAGGTCATTGCTTAGAATAAATCGATTAGCCTTGCAACCATTGGTCGATATAAAGTCGGCACCCATAGACTCTTCCTATTGCTGAATTTATCTTAAAAACGTATAATTCAAACGTTAATTTTAAATTGTTTCTCTCACTGCACTAATAATCAACTTATAAAAAATGTTTGGTGTTTAGTGACCGGTAGTCATTTATTATTCGGAGATCGTGAGATGCGGTCTGGTGTGACGTAGTTTTAGAAAAACATTTTCTTTATCATGCCAACGTTACGATCTTTATTGAGATCATCTTCAGGGCCTGGGATTTCTGAACATTGTTTAAATTTTACAAATACATAGAGGATGTCGAAAAAATGATATTATACAATACTAGAAAATTTTAGATTAAAAAATTGAATTTATACAATGCTAGAAAATTTTAGATTAAAAAATGAATTTATACAATGCTAGAAAATTTTAGATTTAAAAAAATATACAACGCTAAAAAAATTATACAATGCTAGAAAATTTTAGATTAAAAAATGAATTTATACAATGCTAGAAAATTTAATCAAAGTAGTTGTACTCACTCAAAGCGTTTGTTTTCCGCGTATATAGGAAATTATACAAATACTGTGATTAAATTTTCTAGCATTGTATAAATTCATATTTCTTTTATCTAACATTTCTAGCATTGTATGAATTCATGTTTTAATCTACAATTTTCTAGCATTGTACAAATTTAGTTATTTATTTAACCCAAAAAATTTCTAGCATTGTATAAATCCATTATTTTAATCTAAAAATTTCTAGCATTGTTTAAATTCATTTTTTAAATCTAAAATTTTCTAGCATTGTATAAATTCATTTGTTTTCCTCATCCTACACGAACTTATAAAATTTAAACAATGTTTATAAATCCCAGGCCCTGATGATGATCTCAATAAAGATCGAAACGGAGCACGATAAAAGAAAATGTTTTTCTAAAACCCCCGTCACACCAGACCACATCTCACGATCTCCGAATAATCATAATTTATAAAAAATTATAAATGTTACTCAATTCCATTTTTTTAACGAGATAGGGCGTACATTAATTACTAATTATCCATGGGGTAAAATTGAAAAATACATTAGACAATATTAACGAAAAGTTAAAAAATATTTTAAATGATAAATCATCTTACATTTCAATAAGCCACATGTCCATAATAAAATAAATGTGGCAATTGTTCATGGTGTGTGAACACCATAATCAAGTGAAGTGTGAACACCATGAAACATGGATGATGTGAGATATTGTAGTTCACAGGAATAAATCATATAAAATATTTGTATTTTAATTGATAACATTCACTTGAAATTAATGTGCGCAATAATGAAATAAAGCTAGATGTAAAATGGGTTAAGCCAAATGTACTTAATTGGGATTTGAATTTTCCAAATAATCAATATGAACTTGGATGCTCTCACATCGCACATTCACCACCCAAGGATTGGGGTTAAGTTAAATTGCAAATGTCACCACCGGATTGTAAGGAATTTATCGTCCCTCCTCAATGTTTACTTATATTTCTGGCGAAGAAGAGTGCTCAGCTAGGAATAGAATTGTTGAAATACACATGAAACAAGTAAACCTTGAAAAAATTCAGCACAATTTGAAATTAAAGCAAAATTTTAAACCTCGGGACAAAATTATTATAAACAAATTGTACAGAACGTCGCATAGAGTAGAAAAAAATGGGAAATATTTGATAATGAAATAGAGAAACTGAGAAATTAAAATCTAAAGACGCAAACTATTTTCATTCCCATCTAAACCAGTCGTAATGGCTATCACCATTTGGCTCAAGAAATATTGCACTTTTTCCCTCAGATTAACCATCTCTTTGAAGGTAAACGAAAAATAATTCAAATTTAGTGTCACTTACCGTTCGAAAATCTATAAGTTGAGTTATGAGAGTCCCGTCGGATCTCTGAAATTCCAGGGTCACCGTGTCGTCGGTGACATTCGCAGTGATCGTTTCCTGCAGAACATCGCCGCCCTGAAACAATACGAATCTCTTGTCAGCATTAAAACATTTAATTCGGATTAATTTTAAGCACCCCCCATTAAATTGTCATTTTAATCGAAATAAAAAAATTATGCATTTTGAGGCTGGATTCTCAAAGGCATTTTTTTGTCTATGATGTCCGATGTACAACTTAAAAATTCATAACTGCTCTGAGTTTTATCGAAATTTAAAATTAAGACAACCCATGGAAAGCTGGATTATTCATCTTACTGCCTATGACAACAACAATTAGATTATATGTCGTTATAACTGAGAAAAAGGTTGAAATTAACAAAAGCAACTTAAACGTTCATTTTATATCTCCACTTCAAATTATTTACGGAAGCTAAAATCATACCATTGCTTGTAGTTTAGAGGGTTCAAAATCTTGTAGATTTTCTGGTAGATCGGAGGAAGCATTGAAAACTTATATTTTTATGGTTTTCAGAGATTTTTTATTTTACCTCCAAAAAATTGTATTCAGGGTTTCTTGGGGTGCTAAAACCGAATTTCTATTTTGTTTCTTGTTATAAAAAAAGTTTTGAACCTACTTTCCTAGTCCACGGTCATTAAGTAAAAATTGTATTTGGCAGCTGGAATTGGTATTGGTATGTGCACGGTGTCCCATGAACAAACCTCGATATTTTAGTAAGTCATCCTACATTTCAAAATGGTGTAAAAAGACGCTTTGGTCCAAAATCTGGTTCTCAATTTAATCGAGAAATTTCACTTTTGCAGTTACTTCAACCTTTCAAACCTTCATTCTGTAAAGTCTCACAAAAAATTAATCCTATTGCAAATTTGATTGCGCCAATTGATAGAGCATTGCAAGTCCTGAGATTTAAAAAAAATAAAAAATAAAAGTGTTAAAAAAAATCTGTCATTAAATGACATCCTTCAAAAAAGTGAACGTGTTGAACAGTTAATTTAGTTTGGATATATTTTTTTTTGTGTGTTTAATTTTGGGCCAGCGACTTTTTTCGATACTTTGTAATACTTCGTTAATTCACATAGGTATTGCAAAATCCAATTTTGGTTAGTTTCCTAATTTTTTGAGCCTTTTGTAACCGGATAATCCAATTGTTTTTAACAATTAAACGTTAAGTCTACATTGGTCAAAACCGATCTTTGAGAAATTAAGAACATGTGTTTCTTGTTCGTTAGTAGGTGCAACTTTTCTTCCCTGTATCTGTCAATATTTGCAAACAAATAAATTCGTACTTAAGCTTAAAAAAAGAACCTTGGAAACTCGCCAAAATTGATATTTTGAGTGATTTTGTATTTGGGTTGCTCAAAGTAAACAATATTAAACATAAACCAATCTCATTGGGTTTTGGAGACATTTTCAGTAACAATCAAATGCACAGTAGGATTTAATAAGATACGTGTGACTTCACTGAATAATGTCGCCTAAAAAGTGAAATATCAATTCAACTGAGAATCAGACTTTGGACAATAAGAAATTTTTTAATCCAATTTGACAAGGAGGATGACCTCCTCAATTGATGTCAATTCACAGGGACACCTAGTATCGGTATGGTAAATAGGAAAATAAATTATGACCAAGCGACGTATAAAAGTAGGCACAACAAAGAAAACCATTTTTTTCTCGCCTCCTAGAATTAATTGGCCAGAACATGTATAATATTTATCGGTGAAGTATCACCAAAAATTAGTTAGTTAAATCGGTGACCTCCATGGCCTCCCATCTGTACATATGTGTGGTGATTAGTGACCGTTAATCGATATTTATTTAGAAATCGTGAGATGCAGTCTGGTGTGATGTCGGTTTCAGAAAAACATTTTCTTTATCGTGCCAACGTTTCGATCTTTATTGAGATCATCTTCAGGGCTCAAAGCGTTTGTCTTCTGTGTAATTGTGCCATTCTTGCGTGTCGTGTGGGGCACAATTACACAGAAGACAAACACTTTGAGCCCTGAAGATGATCTCAATAAAGATCGAAACGTTGGCACGATAAAGAAAATGTTTTTCTGAAATCTACATCACACCAGACCGCATATCACGATTTCTAAATAAACATCAGTACATATTTTTATGGTTTGAAAGAAACATATAGATAATAAATATATAACAAGGTAGTATTTTAGAAGAATGGTATTCTGTGTAGAGTTCATGACCCAACGAAGTTTACAAACACGAAGACAATAACTGGTATCATAGAACGTCCAGCTGTACCGGAAAGCCTGGAAAGTTGCTTAAGTGTTGTTCGAGTTTGGTCAAATGGTCTGGAATCGGATGGACTCTTGTCAGCTGTTGTCACTGATCATTATTTATCATCTCTCGAACCGTCTATTCTCGCTTTTTGCCCCCGGACGTCCCAGTCGGAGATCTGGTCAGTCGGGCCACTGGTCGCTCTTTTTGTACTCCAAAGTTCAATTCCTGTTAAGTAAATTAAACAGTCGAAAATCGATTCGGAACGGGAGGTAAATATTATTGCTGTGTATGTGGAAATGGACGAAAGCAGAGGAAGGAAATTATTCAATGATCGTCGTTCACCATTACTTATCCCATTTATATGATACCAGCAATCAATCAATATTTGTTAGTCAATTATTGATATTTTACATTTCATTCTTCTTTTCGTTTTTTTTTCTTTCAACAGATCCTGTCCGTTTTGAATAAAAAGTTTGTAAATTCTATTTAGAACAAATAGAATGGGGGGCGTCGGTGGCCGCAACGGTTTAGGCGTTGACACGGCGCTCATCACTGTAAGGTAAAGGTCCCGGGTTCGAATCCAGCGGCCCTGCATTCGAACCCGACATACTTACTTTTGTAAAAAAACCACCGGCACCCCGAGGGTTGATATTACCTCTGCAGTTGCGAACCCTCGTTAAAAAAAAATAAAAAAATTTGAATGGTTAACGAAAATGCTTAAAGATATATTCCAACTTATATAATGAAATATTTAATGATAATCTTTAGAGCTTCGATAAATATTTATTAGTTATGTTAGAGAAAAGATGGCTTTTTGCTTGAAAAGCAGTCAAAACCTGATTAAACGTAATTTTCAGAGAAACGCTCTAAATTAATGATTTATTTGAATGCATAGAAGAAAATTCGGATTTTCAAACCGTTGTCAGGAATATGAGACGAGAAGGTCAGAGGAGTGGAAGGTGAAAAAAGCTTGATTCAAACCCATACCCGCTACCCTTTATAAACGGGCGTAAAACACTTAGAAAGTTACCCGAGGATCGGGTTTACTTAGGCGAGCTGTACTGTGCTTCTTGAACCGTCTTCCCTCCTGTGTCAACTCATTAAAAAACATACGATCCACAAAACACTGCCTCTTCCTAGAACAGGGTCAGCATTTACTCCGAAACCCACAGGCTCTTAAGTAGCGAGGCTTTTTTTCTCCCCATTTGTTAACAGGTCGGGACTAAAGAAAACTTTTTTTCTATGTGAATTTATGCTGTATATTTTCTTTCAGAAATATTCAAGCCAATTAGCGCTCAAACGCGATAAATGTTACTAAATATTCCCTTCCTTTTATGTGATCAAACAGGTGAGACGCTATTTCTTCCAAAACGTAGAGAAAACTAATCCACAAAGAACTCTTTCCTTAGGTTTTTTTGTTGTTGTTATTGGGTTTTCAGACCCGGCACACACCGACCTGAATGAAGAACATCAATTTTCTTTCTTTCTATATCATCGTGTTTTTTCTCAATTCGACCATCGCCAAGTGTTTTGTGGAAACTGGCTCTTTTCTGCACTTCTCTTTTATAGATGGGATATCAAGAGATGAAGTGAACATAAATAATGTACAATGCAGACAGATAAATAAAAATATTTATCTAATAAATATTTATATCTTTAAAATATTTGTACATTTAAAAAAGAAATTTTGTTAAAATAAACTAGGACATAATAGTATAAAGTAAACTATAGAGAAAAGTATTAATTAAATTATTATTATACAGGCATTGTTCACTTTTTCCTAAATATTCAATTTTTTCGTCCAGTTTTTGTTAACCTATGAAAATAGAGGGTTCAACTTACGGGACCACTAGACAATTCAAAGATTTCATTCAAAAAAACGAAATTGTCTTACGTAGCCCTATTCATTTTGTGAAAAAGTGTTTTTTACTTTACATACACACATATGAGCATGTAACTCTATATTCGTCTATTCGTCTCCCTTAATCTCACATTCTCCCGCTGTGTCACACAACCCCTCTCCAATCTCTAACACACTTTCTCTCTCACTCTCTCTCTCTCTCTCTCACTCTCTCACTCACTCTCTCACTTATTCAATCTCTCACTCGCTCTCTCTCACTCACTCACTCACTCGCTCTCTCTCACTCACTCGCTCTCTCTCATTCACTCATTCACTCTCTCTCACTCACTCACTCTCTCTCTCTCTCACTCACTCACTCGCTCTCACCCACTCACTCAATCTCACTCTCTCTCTCTCACTCACTCACTCGCTTTTTCTCACTCACTCACTCAATCTCACTCTCCCTCTCACTCACTCTCTCTCACTCACTCTCTCTCGCACTCACTCTCTCTCACTCACTCTCACTTAATCTCACCCTCTCTCGCTCACTCACTCTCTCACACACTCACTCACTCTCTCTCTCCCACTCACTCTCTCATTCACTCACTCACTCTCTCTCACTCACTCACTTTCTCTCACTCAATCACTTTCTCTCTCACTCAGTTTCTCGCACTCACTCATTTTCTCTCACTCACTCACTCACTTTCTCTCACTCAACCACTTTCTCTCACTCACTCATATTCTCTCACTCACTCATATTCTCTCACTCACCCACTTTCTCTCTCTCCCATCATCCCTCTCTCACACTTGCTCTCTTTCTCACTCACTCACTCACTCTCTCTCACACACTCACTCTCTCTCTCCCACTCACTCTCTCTCTCGCTCTCTCTCGCTCACTCTCTTTCACTCTCTCACTCAATCTCTCACTCACTCACTCTCACTCACTCACTTTCTCTCATTCACTCACTTTCTCTC